GTGAGAAAGTCTCGGCACGTTTAAATTTTGCGGCACCGGTGCCGATTTTTGTCACGTTTACACGCCAAAAGGCAGAGGTGCCGTGCCTAAAATTTTGGGCACGGGTGCCCATTTTTAGGGGTGCCGTGCCCAAAACACTGGTGGTGTAAACCGGCCTACTGTGTAGCCTAAATAATGAAGGACTAGTACTCAAGATTGGTTGTTGTTTACTCCGACTCCTGTGGTGAACATACAGTATATGTAATAAACTAGGGAAACTACGATTAGCAACTGAAATTTTAGTATTTGCAACCACTACTATTATTAATACTGCCTATAAACTTTATTTGATTCACTGTATGTGGCTTTTGCATGGGGTACATATTTTCCAAAAAGGAAAATCGGTAAAGAGCACAAGGTTTTATCTCCCAATATGCAGCCTACTGTACAACACACCATTATAGACGGAGTTCTCATCACTTTTGTCGTCTGCATGTTATTAAATGCTGTAATTGTAAACAATTGCACAGGGAGCCCAAGCGATTATCTGTGTCTGTGTTGTATGTTTTTCAGTTTATTTATTTTAGTGTCTTTATATTGCCTTTTAATTGAATTATAACACTACATTACACTAATATGTCATATAATGATAATAATAATACATATAATAACAACATATAATATACACTTAATGTTTGCACCCGAGGGAAATAGTTCGTTTTGTTTTCCCGAGAATCTCCATGTTTCGTCGAGGGAAACATTGAGATTCGAGGGAAAACAAAACTAACTATTTCCCGAGGGAAAAGACGTTAACTGTTTTGTTATATAGCGACGAAACAAATATCAACATTGAACAACATTCATACAACAATATTTGTATTTCATGACAAAAACTCTATAGCGTAAACGAGTTTAAAATTTAAAAAACCTACTTAAATGGTTTCAGCAGCATATCCTGTTGCCTGTTGTGTATTTTTCTTCTCTTTTACATTCTTTATTTTAACACAAAGCCACGAAAACAGTAGTTTAAATAGTATAAATTTGTGCCGCCATTTTGTTTATTTATGTACGTAGCCGGTCGGGGCGGGCAACAATTTTTCACTTATTGCCCGGGCGGGATACATTGCATTTATCTAAAGCCACGTGACTACAAATCAGCCAATCACGTTTGGTGTTCACACTAGCTATGTAACAAGTTGATTTGTATTTGTATGTTTTTCCGTTTATTTATTTATTTAAGATCTATTATTAACTTATATAAAAGCACCGCCTTTCGAACCTGACAGCCCGTTCGCAGGATACTTCGTGGGAGAAGCGCGCGATTTGAAATTAGAGGCGGTAAGATATAAATAAGTGACAAAGGATGAAACTCGTAAAGTTTATCGTATTATGAATGACCCGACTTGAGTGGACGTGTCAAATGAACGCCGTCAACCTTTAGGAATAATTACCGGTAGCAATGATATAAACAAGGAAACAAGCTCGACTACAACTCGAGGAGAGAAGTCAATTTGTGTCGACCGTAACGGTTTCAATGTTTAGACAAATACAAATCAACTTATATCTTGCTATTATATGTTCGACTATAGGAGTATTATTATTATTATATGACATATTAGTGTAATGTAGTGTTATAATTCAATTAAAAGGCAATATGAAGACACTAAAATAAATAAACTGAAAAACATACAACACAGACACAGGTCAACGCTTGGGCTCCCTGTGACAATTGTCACATCTTTATTCTAGAGTCATTGATATTGGGCCCGCAGTAATTGGCAACAAGCTATTGCGGTGACCCGGCCACTCTGTTTTGTTATTGTAATTTTATGCCGGCAAAGTTAATAAATAAATAAAAATTGTTAGTTACCGGTCGAAGACTGGCGATTGGCAGTCAGTACGACCAGAAAACGTTCATAATTACTAAAAATTGTGCTCTTTTCACATTTCCAAAACAGAGGTTACTGGTGTTTTTGTTAATATGGTTTTTGGGATACATACAGTTAAAAACAACTTGTAATATTTCCCTGTAATATTTTCCCCGAGCCGACGCCGTGCGAGGGTACTAATCCCCCCCAGCTATTTACACCCGGGGAAACGAAAGCATTAGCGAAGTCTAAAGTTCACCAATGATCGCGGGCGTGGCTCACTGTGCGTGGGTGGTCATCCTCACTGATTTCAAAAATATGACGGACTGTCATGAATAGCGAACACTGTGATTGGTCCAATTTAAAGTTTGCATTATAACGACTGCATGAAACTGCATGACGACAGCGAAATAGTAAACATTTCTTGATTTGATGATTGATAAATTTCTTGCAAATATATTTCATTTTTGCTCGCATTTTTGCAAGATTTTGTAAATTTCAAGAAAGAAAGGGCGAAAGAATCGGCTAAAAGAAGGGAGCCGACGTAAACGAAGGTAAGTTTGTTTTAAATATTGATTTTAAAATTTCTTTAAAACCCGACGGCCTTTGCGTATATGAAACAACTAAACAAGACAGCATATAATTTCAGTGTATCTTTAATATTGAGTCCCTTTTTTATTATATTGAATTTTTTAAATAAAAAAGAAAGCAAAGTTATTTGCATGCGAGAATTTGAAATCATTTTATTGCAAACTCAAAGTTTATCGATAAACTCAAAGTTTATCGAAGCCATTTAATTATTAAAGGCAGTTTAGTTTTATAAAGAACACTTTGAAACGTTTTGCGAAGCGTTTGTGGTTGAATTTTACCTTAAATTGAAGCTTATATTACGTATAATATCATACCTAACATATATATGTTGGGAAGTTGATAATTTTGTAATTAAAAGTGATATTTTTAGGCGATTTTTTATTTGTATTAAGAATATTCTTAAAAAATTATCGTGTTACCATGACAACTACTTTAGATACTTCGTGTTCGGAAAGTACAATGGTTTTGTCAGCAAGGCGAGCGTTTCTGCATGCATGTATTTTCTAGTTCAAAGTAGTACTAGTCACGAGCAATAAATAAAAAAACTACCCCGAAGAGTTGATATTTGTTAGGCCTACTAAATTACGAATGCATTTTGAAAGTGGGTGTTATTAAGAATTACTGCGATGTGTTTTTGTGGTGTTTTGGGGGTATGTACATGTACCTGCAGGTACATGCATTGGCATCTATAAATATACTAATATATATATTTTTTCATGTTTCAGAGTTTCTACCGATTAGGTTCAGCCTTGATGGCACTAAAGCACTACGACCGTGCTCTGGAGATTTTAAAGGATGGACTAAACATAAAGGCAACAGACGAGGAAAAGTACGATATATTTAAGAAAATTATGGAGCTGGCTTTCAACGCTGGAGGTATATTATAACATTGAATGTTTTGCTTGTAGGTAATTGTTTTATAAACTAAATTACGAAAATATTTCATACACTGTACAATACGTCCACCGCCCGACAGATGAAACTTGGACTTCTTGTGGATTTGAATATGAATTGAATTGAAATGCTAATGCGTAAAATGTATGAAATCAATGATGAAATGTTCGTGCAGCAATAAAATATTAGTGACTGGAAAGGACATGTAATATTAGTGACTGGAAAGGACATGTAATAATAATTTTTTCCTGCGATGCTGTAGTTTCTTTCCTATAACTACGTTTATCCTAACCCAGGGTGGGTTAACTCAACTCATTAATGTTTTTTTATGTAGATGGACCAACAAAAGTTACCTTCGAACTGCCCCATGGTTGTTTGAGTAGATATCTGAAAGAATGTGTCGAGAAACATTACTGGAAGTCTTTGGAAGTCTTCCTACTTGGGGGCGGTGGTCATGGATCGTATGCTAAAGGCGAAGGTGGAATTGCAACTGGCAATTGTGATCTCAAGGAGATCTCCTTGTGTGATGTTATAAAGTCAAACCCTAAACCAAGCATGTATTACGAACTCATCAGTGTCCTTATTGATCATGGTGCTTTGGTGAATGGTCATAATGAGCAAGATATTCCATTGGCTTACGCAGTGAATTACGATGATCACGATCTTGCTGTTGTTTTGCTGAAGAAGAACGCAAACCCTCAAGGTCTTCTAAGAAGTAAATCTGGGAAGCATGACGATACGCCAGTTCACACTGCATTCAGAATTGGACTTTCATTAGGTAATCAACCTTTTTTTAAGTCGGACAAGAGCTTGATATTGCTCTGTAGTTTATAGGGCAATTTATTAGCCTGCAAGAAGGCACTTATTGGAGCCTGTCTAGTTGAAATAGACCCGCCCGGAAATTGTTAATTGGAGAACTAACCAAAAAGTTGAAAGAGCTACAGTAACCTCTCAGGGGTTTCAGAATGATTTGAAGTAGGCGGTTGTACCAAAAAAGTAGCCGGCTGTGACTGATAGTTAAAAAATCGCGCGGGGAGGGGAGCGTGTCCTCACATGGAAATTTAATTTTAACAATCAAATAATATAGAATACGTAAAAAGACAAAGTACAACTGTTAACTGTGTCGGTATTTGTATTAGCATTTCACAAGACAATTAGCATACCATAGAATATGTAATTATGTATAAAGGGCTGTCTCATGATTAAGCCAGCATCATTTGGAATGCATACTTGTACGAAGATAGACCGGTTTTACTGTTAGATATAT